ATGATCAGATGTAAACATTTTAGGCTTTGCACGTCATTTGGTTTCTGTTTCAGCTGCTCAACTTTGCTGCTGCAGGGTGAAAGCAGTCATGGGTGCGACAATGAGTGTGGCTGTGCCTAATGATACTTCATTTGCAAATTGGGAATAGGGCAGATTTGGCCAAAAATTTGTCAACCCAATAGAGCCTATTTATGATAGGCTTGGGGGACTAGGTTGGGAAATGTTCTCAAGTCTTAGCATTATGACAGCAGCTTCTATACCTCCTCTCAGGCCTCGTGTCCATGTTTGGAGTCCTCCCTCCTGACCAAGTCGAGTGTCTCTCCAAAACCTCTCACCTTGGACTGAAGCTTAGCACAGCACAATATTTTGCAGTTTATTATCCTCTGGGGCTTCACACATCGGCATAAAAAGAGAAAAATCAATCACAAAGTAAAGAGCTGTTGTGGTAAGTTGTAACAATAATAAGTAATTAGGAAATTCTTCAAATGCATTCCCTAGGACTCTCTGACACTTGTTCTAGACTCTTTTTTGTAGACTACCACTTAAATCATCCTAGATGACTTGAAATATGCATTTCACCTGGATTAAAAAATGTGCAAAGAGCCCTGGCTGGTGTGGCTCAGCAGACTGAGTGCCAGTCTGCCAACCAAAGGGTTGCCAGTTCGATTCCCAGTCAGGGCACATGCCTGGGTTGCAAGCCAGCTCCCCATTTGGGGGCACATGAGAGGCAACCACACACTGATGTTTCTCTCCCTCTCTTTCTCCATCCCTTCCCCTCTCTGTAAAAATAAATAAATAAAACCTTTAAAAAAAATCTGCAAAGAGCTGATAATCCCTAGCAGGAGGCTACCTAAAGGGTAACAAGGACAGACACTGGTCCTCCCAAAGCAACTGTTCTCCTCTGAAAATAAGAGGACTCAACAAATGAAAGAAAGACCTGTCTTTCTCTTAATCAAAGTATTCAGCTCTCAGTTCTGATATAACATTAAAAAGTCCTTAAAGGGCTGCTTCCTTGACCTCATTTTAATGTGCATTAAGCAGATTGTTCATTATGGTTTCTGGGTTTATCTATGTTTGTCAAAGAGCTGCATTTGACATAAATAGAGTGGTTCAACAGACTGCCACAAAATTTGGAACTGGGAAGCACCCTTTTAATTCAGTCCCCTTATTCCACAGAGAAGTGAAGTGGTTTGCCTGGAACAGTGGACTCTCTGCTCAAATAAAATAATCGTAAGGCCATCCCTGTATGATCTTAGTGCTCCTACCATGAACCAGCCAGCTGTGCACACACCCACCTGACATGACAGACAACTCGGATTCCCTGTTCTAAGGGATAACCCACTAACAACCTCCCAAACCTCTCCTCTGCCCCAGGACAAAACCCCTTTAGGATGAAATCAGCCACACTAAGTAACAACTTCCTCAATTATGTAACCCAGAGCTGCCTGTGTTTTCAGAGATTTGGCAGACACCATCTATACAATTTCCACTGTCCCTTCTATGGCACACTTGTAAAATAGGAAGATTTATCTTCTGCTGTCTCAACTCACCTTCCCCCATCTTGCTCTCCCTCTTAGTAACCAAGTGCTGATATTAGTTACCACAGTCAGATATTTGCATTTTAAGTTTACTATCTCTTCATGTGAAATTGAGGCACTTTCTAGTGTCTTAGCATGTTTTGGGCACTAGGAAACAACTAAAAAGATGCTATTGTAGAGATCCTCCAGGCCCACTAGGACTTCACCTGACCCTGCCAATGACAGTAAAATGAATGAATTTTATGGGACTGGCAGAAAGAGGGAAGAGAGATGAAAAGAGAATGTGCATGAATGGTGTCTCCACTCCAAAGAGCTCTGCTTACCCCAGGCCCTCTCCACGTAAGATCCACAGAGGCTTAGTCCAGGCAGCTGCTGGTCCTAGACTGAAAAGTTCTAACCCTTTTTACTGTCTCTAGCCAAGGCTCACCCATTAGGTTTCATCTTCTCCCACATCTGCCCCTTCTCATTCTGCTCTAAATCTCTCTCATGACTGTTTGAAATTTAACCCCCCTGCAATCTTGTGGAATACAGAGCTATGAATCCTGTATTATCTCTCCCTCTGATTGCGAGGCTTCTGATAAGTATGTGTTAGCTCACATCCTCTAGCTTATAAAAATATTGGGAATGAACTGCCTTGGAAATTAACATGTTCCTTGTCACTTATACAGGACTTTGTTGAGATGATTTGAGGTTTGGCTAGGGAATCGCACATGACGAGTCCCTTCTGGACTTACTGTTAGAAATAATAATGATATTCTTATAATAAGAATAGCTATTTTAACTTGCAGAATACTTAACAAATTGCATTTTTTTAATGTACATTTTCTCACTTGATCTCATTTACCCTGTGAAATTGGTAGGGCAGATATTATGACCCTAAAGGTGCAGGTGAGGTCACCTGTTGAAGATCACATGGATAAAAACAGGTAACGCCTTTCCCTTTCCAGGGGGTGTCCTTTCTACTGTGCTCTGCTGCTTAAAAAAAGAAGTAAACTTCCTTCCACTGAGAGAAAAGGGGCATCAATTCTTCACTTTTGTCAGCCTTTAGTGCAAAATTCCTAGCAAAAAGGGCAATTCATACAGGCAGCACAAATCATTTTAGAATCACAAACTCTCTGGGGATGTCCTGGAAGTTCCCCTTTCCCCCTCTACTCCAACACATTCTACCCCAGGACAATGAAAAACTTAAAGGTGATTCACACAGTAAGGAAAAGAGTACTAACAAAGCAGACTGTGTACTTACGTTTTTAGATTATTGTGCAATAAAGTCAGTTTATATTTTTGTACAAATATTGATATATGGCTACAAAACCAAACATTTTTCAGTTATATTCCTATTTTCAAACAATTTAAACAACCTGTGTTCATACAATTGTGTTTAATGATTAGATGGTGAATTTTATCTTAGTCTTTGCAGTGGTGTAAAATTTCCAAACCCAGACATTTTTTTTATCATTCTAAAAACTTGTTTTAAATTTTGGCATATAACTTTATAACACCAAGTGTTAGTACAGATTTTATCTCATAATTATAAAGTAATCATGAAACCCTGTTATCAATATTTGTTCCAAGTATCATGAGGAGGCTTCTGGAAACACAGTGGAAGTATGCCAGCACTGCAGAAATCAATGGAAGCTGAAGTTGTAAGGATTAAAAAAGAATCTGCCTATTTTAAATGGTCTTTTAATAATAAGGGCCTGCAATTTAGTAAATTTGAATGTGACAACGACTTGACTTTACAAGCAGAGATTATTCAAGTAGAAAGTAGGCAGAAGTTTGACTTCATACTAGAAGTTTAAAACTTTAAGAATTTGGGAAAAAAGATTTAAAGAAAAAGAAAAAAGCTACATATTTTTTTTCTGAGTGTGATTTTTAATATTCAAGATTTTTTCTTTACAATATAGAAAGTTTGAAAAAAAAAGAAAACCTTTCCATTTCTTCCTATCTTTCTTAGAATGTGAACTCAAAAATCAAGACTTGCTATTGTATGCTCTTTTAGCCCAACTTGGATTTCAGTGTTCTATAAATAATGAGCTCTTTAAAAAAAAAAAAAGCCAACATTTAATGAGTAAAAATTCAACTAATTCATGGTTTAATTCAATAGAGTAAACATTTACTAAATCTCCATTCAGCCCAAGACATTGCACCAACTCCTAGAGAGACAACTAAGGAGCATTAATGCCCCCTAAAATGATCAGAAGGTAGACTTTTCCCAAAGGCCCCAAGATTCAGGGATAAATGCCTTTACAAAAGAAATTAGTTAAAGGCTTATTGAAAGATCTAAACAAAACTGTATATTCAGTTATGCATCTATCAGAATGATAAGCATTCACCTTTCTCCCATCGTTTAAAGGACAAATTCCTCATCACAGACTTTCCAAATACTGCCTTCATCAGAAAAGACTCAAATATTTATAAGTTATCAAGCTCATGGCAGTGGATACATGTTTTCTAAACTTATAATTGTCACTTTAAAGCTCAAAAATTACCATTGGCAACAATAATTGTCCTTTGTTTTCCTCAAAGTGGCAGGTGCATGTTATTTTTGAAAAACGTCTGTCAAATACCTGTCTGAATAACTACAGTTCGTCCATCGTTCTTTCAAGTAAAAATAACGTTCAATGAAAATAAAAGTAAAAACACTAGTTCGGCTTGCAATTCAAGCACGGAAGTGTTTTCCTGGAGATGAACATGACACTTCAGTATTCAGCACACACTCTTTATGTACACTTCCTGTTTTTTTCACACAGAATTTATAAAGGGTTGGACTTTAATAAATTTAATCTTTTTTACTGATTTATCAAGACCATTTTCAAGTGACAGTGGCTTTCACATTTTGGTGCTTCTGCCTTGGTTCAAGATAAGAAACACCTGCACTTTTACCCACCATTTTTGCACCATTGGTGCAAATGTCAACAGAGCGAGAGTCAAATCAGTCTTAGCGTTGTCGTGAAAATAATTGTGACTTGGCAGACTCCTTGAAAGGGTCTCAGGAACCTCCGGGGGTTCCAGAGCCACACTTTGAGAACCCCTGCGTGCTTGAGCTGACAGAAATGACAATTCTTTAATGCTTGAGGCTTATTATTGTAGGTTTCATCACTGGGCGCCAAAAGAAAGGCACGCCAAGGCGTTGAACACATCCAGGAGACAACATCCGACCATCCACAGCTCAAAGGCTCATAGGAAGTAAACAATTCTTGGGAGGGCGGGGGTTGGGGGCGGGGGTGTCAGACCGTTGGCCCAAGCTTGCAGTTGCCAGGGGCAACGATCATCAGCTGGGGTGCGGAGACGCAACCATCGATTAATCGCGCCTTGCGCAGTCTCGGAGGGAGAGGGCGGAGATGGCTGGAGGAAGGACGTCCCCAACGCGTGGTCGCCAGTGGAGCTCGGTGGCGAGACTCTCGCTCGTTCTGCGATCTATTGGAGTGGCTGCCGAGGGCTCGGGTTGCGGTCGGGGAGGGCGGGAAGATGGCGGCGGTAACGGCGGGCGGCCCGGTAGGGAAGGGGCGCGACATCAGCCTGGCAGCCCTACAGCGCCACGACCCGTATATCAACCGCATCGTAGACGTGGCCAGCCAGGTGGCTCTGTACACTTTCGGCCATCGGGCCAACGAGTGGGTGCGTGCGGACGCGACGGGCCGTGCAGGCAGGCGGGGTGGGAACGGGGTCGTCACACCCGGGCGCGACACCCCGCTACCGGAGGGAACGCGACCCCGGAGGATGGAGGTGGACAGTGGTGTCTCGCGGCGCCTGGCCGAAGTTGGGGGGATTGCGCCCACGGGCTCTGGGGCTTGGAGGAGTGGGCGGGCGATCTCTGAAACCATCTGAAACTGGGGCAAGACTTAAATACATGCAATACCCCACGGTGAGAGACCGGACTAAACGGGACGGGACCTTGAGAACTGAAGGAAGGGGAGGACCTGGTGCCTTGAGGCCGGAAGACTGCTGTACTCTTGAAAATGCAAAGCGGGATATGTTACAGGAAAACGGTGGCGGTAGAGGAGGCGGGCGGGCGTTGGGGGCGTGGGTGAGGGTCGGAGGCGAGTACGCGAGGGGAGCCCCGGTTCTGGAACCTCAGATGGGACGAAGAGAAACCAAACCTTAATAGCGGGGAGGAAACTGAAGTTGCCAATTCAGGGAACATAACAAGGAAAGAGTAAACTCGGGGAATAAAAGACTAAATGGGACTCAGTCTAACACTTAGAAGGAGGCTGGCTCTCTTGGAAAGATCATTACACCGTAGCCCACCAAGACCAAAAATGCGTTTTAATATTTGAATTCATTTGGGAGCCAAAATATTTTTAGTACTCTTGTCAAGCAGAACCGCAACAGATAGCAAAGGAATTAGATTTAGTTCTCACAATTGGAATGGGGTAGGAGCGTAAGATACGTGAGCCCTCATGCAGGCTACAAGTGGATTTTGAATGTAGAAAAATGGATTTTTTTCTCTTTACGTCCTAGGGATTTTTGTCCAAATAATACTAAACTGTCAATTATAGTACCATCCACCATTACTTTTAAATAAGTTACAAAACAATATAAAGGACTGATCCTGAATGAATGGATTTCAGAAGATTTTTTTAGAAATACATTCTCCGAAAAGGAACATCAAAATTTAAGCAAGAAAACATCCATATTGGACAAATTAATATATTTTTAAATACCCACATTTATTTATATAGCCTACTTATTCGCCTGTAACTTCCTAACAAAGATGAAAGTTAAGTTCTAAAATGGGAGAGAAGAAGGGAACAGTTTTGTCATAAATTCTTAGGAAAGGTACTGAAATGGGCTTATGGCTGCTCTCCAAGTAGCCGAGCCAAAAAACAAAAGCAACACAAACCGGTGGGGGTTGGGGGGAGCTCTTTAATATTCATAGTTCTGTAATAGGAAGTAACCCACTTGGTCAGGAGGGTTATTACCCCCTAGTTTTCAGAAGAATTTGCCACCTTAGCAACACAGTGAACAGTTTCATCAATGGTAACTTAAAAAAGAAAAAAGCAAACATATTCTGCATCCGGCTATTATAATGCTCTGTAGAAAAAAGCCAAAAGCATGATGTCAGTTCTGTCAAGGTAATTCTGTAGTACAGACCAGGATCCGGGGTGTATAGTTCTATAAACGACCAGGCCTAGAGTCTGGAAAATCCTGAAACATGCAAGATACCATTCCTCTTGAATAATTACTTCCTAAAGGCTTTTGGGACAGATAACCTGTTAAAATAGTTGCATAGTTTTATTAGATACCCAGTGCAGCTCCTACACTAAAGCCTCATGAAAAGACAAAAGTGTCACAATGCATTATTTACAGGATTATGTTTTCCTGCATCCTGGACTTGTTACCTTCAGACAAGCCATAATTCACTCTGTAAAAGGTCATTCTTTCAAAGGACTCATCCTCAAGGCTGTGTTAGCCAGAAAAAAAAGAGAGACCAGTTTAGTGGCAGAGCAGTTGCTGGGGGTAAACAAATTATCACTATTGTTTCCATGTGCCATAACTCAGGCCTTTTCGATGGGAGCCTTTTGAATGTAAACCTAATAAATTCATAACGCACATTTTTGAGAATGGAGGAGAAAGCATATGCAACAAGGAAGGTGGGGAATAAAGGAAGGGAGTTCTTAGTACGCTGAAAAGAGAGAAAGAACGACGAGGCTTTCAGAGCCAGAGGAATTAGGAGGGATGAGTGGACAGGAAATGAGCTGTTTTAAGGAAGGATTAAAAAGATGATGTCTTGACTGAGAGAGGAATTTTAGAGTTAGACCTACTTCCCACTGCTAGGAAAGACCACTCCCCTATAAAACCCATGTGTGGAAGAATAAGCCTGAATCTTCTTCCTCTCAGCCCCGAGAGTAGTAGTTCTTAATGAGTTGATTTGACTGCAGAAAATTTCTGGTGGTCTCACTGAGAGCCAGGTATTACTGGCATCTAGAGGGTAGAGGCCAGGGATGCTGCTAAAAATCCTACAAAAGGGCTAAACTTGAGAAACTGCCTTAGCGACTAAGCTACTGGTTTTCTGAGTTTAGTGTCATAACAGTTTCTGGATATGAAGCCCAAGCATTTGATATTTATTAAAATATAGGTGACTTGGATGCTACATACGTGACTGAGAAAGAAAGATTTAGAGGGTAAATGAAGACCTACTTTTCCATTATTTTACCATAACGATCAGTAAGATAGATTGCTTCGAGTTGTCTTAGAGGGTTCAGATAGCGTTCTGAGTCCCAATAATGCACAAACTAGCACTATTTCACTATTTTAAATTTTGAACTGCTTAGTTTTTTAGCACTTGTATTTTAATAGTAAAGTATAATATTAAATCATTAAATTGTACTTTTAAAATTTAAGCTAAAATCCACCAGAACTATGAACTAACGCTTTAACATAAAAGTCCTCCTTACTTGCAGGTCCTAAGGAGGATCTAATAAAGTCTTGTTTTAACTATTCCCCATACCCCCACCCTGGGCTTTGCCCAGAATGGAAAAAGTAAAAAATTTGGTTACCTAAGATAACTGTGGAGGGATCAGAAAAATGCATGAATTTGAGCTGTTTCAACCATAATAGACCAGAGAATATGTTTTGTCGTCAAAGATCTGAGTGGTGTAGGCTGGTTATCTCTTTGCAGTAGAGAAACTGAGACAGAATAATAATTAGTCCAGTGTGATCTGGTAAGAACCCCACTCCAGGTCCAATTTTGTAATCTCTGAAATAATTCTTGTCCATGAACAAACTCATGCTCTTTTTGTGTAATGCTATATAAAAATCTAATTTTTAAGAAATGCTTATTATGAGTTAGAGAATAATTTCAGGAGAAGCATACCTTTTACATTTCTGATTCTGGATTTTTCAAAACTAAAATTGGGCATTAAAGTCTTTTTTTCTTAAAAGGTAATGTCTGTTACTACTTCAGTAAGGAAGAAAGGAAACAAGTCAAAAGTCATTAGCTTTATGTTTTTACACTGATACATATAAATATCCTGATTTGGGGGTCTAAGATGAAACAGTCCAAGGTCAAACACTGGAAGACAGGAAAGTGTTTTGGCCTTGTAGCAAGTGATTCTGACAGTGCATGTAAGTCACAATTCCTAGTTCTGTCACATATATCTTCAGTTTCTTACTAACGTAATAAATAACACCAAATATTTAGTTTTTACATATTTATTTTTAAAGTCTCTGTGGACTAGTAAGTGCCTTAAAACTTTAGGGACACCCACAAATCCTTGGGTGTAGGTAGCATTTATTGTACCATAGTGGCCATTTTCTCAATGACTAGTATTGTGGTGGTTTCAGTAACTCAAAGTTTAAAGTGCACTCAGGTTATAGACTTCTCAGCAGATAGGAATTAACCATGTTTACAAAGAAAGATAAATAATAAAGTTTCAGTATATATTTTTTCATTTTTACTTGGTATTTTTCAAAGTGCAGTGGCAAGTGGTCCACATTTGAAAAATAAGGATACTTTTCATAATACATTGAAGTGATTTATACAAATGTCATAGTAAATCCATTTTAAGAATGAAGTCCCTAACTTTCTTACCAGTGTGTTTATATAGAGAAAAGACTGGCTAAAATTGCTTTAACTATTATAAATTCTTTATTTCTAATTACATATTCTATAATAATAAGGATTAAAAATCTTGTTACTAAGTAATTTACTCTTAATAGCTATTTGCTCCTAATTTGGACCATTGTGGATTTTGTTTTTATGACTCCTAATAGAGTTCTGCGGGCAGAGATCATGTTATCGAACTAAGCAGAATCATCATTATAGGTTCTCATGCAGCATCATCAGAATCACCTGAATGGCTTAACAAACGGGCCTGCTGAGTACTAGCCCCACAGTTTCTGATTCAGTCGGTCTGAGGAAGGACCCAAGTATTTGCATTTGTAACAAATTCTCAGGTGATGCTGCTGCTACTAATATGGGAACACATCGAACTGTGAGACCTATTGATCTACAATGACTAAGAAAATTGCTGAAATTAGTTGGGTTTGTGGAAGGATTATGCTTCCAATTTTTTTGTTTTGCCTTTTTAATATTATTTTGATATTACACTGTTATTCTTAAAGAGTGTATTTTTTAGCATACTGCATACTTAAACTTTGAATGATTTTGGTAATGGATATTAATAATTAGATATTATGAGGTTAAATAGAATGCCGAGCTTAAATCATTAAATAGCAACATACATCTTAAATTCTGAATTATAATTGCTTGATTACTAGCTAATCAAACAAATGGATACTTAAATTTTTTTAGAATGCAGTGCACCGTTGAACATTTTTATCAGGGCCTGGGGTTCTGCCTTTGTTGAGTTAGAAAAGAGCCTTTCCAAATGGACTAAAATGATAGGTTATCATTTTAACTTTACCGCTTTTTCCAGGTTTTCTCAGGCAGATTTCCTGAGTCCTAACTTGGTACTGTTTCTTTCTGTTTAACTATTCCAAAAATCAGAACTTGACTCTTAACTATTCCACATCCAGGAGGTGATTAATTATCTGAAAACTATGACATTGTTGCTGTCTTCTGTGTAGTAGTCCGAGTAGTGTTATTGGCAGATCACCTGCTCTCCTAGGTGATGGGATACAACAAGAGAAAATGAACTCCGAAAATAAAGAGATGCGGTTACCAGTAATTTCTGCAGCTTGCTGTCTGCCCAGTTCAGAGGGCAGAGCAAAAGGCAAAACACTTCTTATAATCTCTTTCTAATGAAATCCATTGTGTGCTGTCATCTCTGCATTTGGTAAAGAGAGACAATGATGGTTTATTTTGTAAATGACAAAAGGAGGATGACCGCTTCTTGCTGCTTAATCAGCAGAGCCGAAGCCAGGCCAGGAGCCTGCTTTTCTCCTTTCCCTGAGACCAGCCAGCCTTCCTAGGGTCAGGTGCTGCTTAGACGTGGCCCTACTTGAACCTGGCTAGAATTCCTATTCTGTAAGAAGTTTATGTTCTTTAACCCCTGTGAATATTTATTATTAATGAAGAGAATATACATGTTTTGCCTGTGTTTTTTATATTCTAGGAGAAGACTGATGTGGAAGGGACCTTATTTGTTTACACAAGGTAAGAGTATATTACTTTCATAAAGAAACTGACAGTAATTCTTCTTTAATTGTAGTTATATTTCTGAAAGAGGTAAAAGAAATGAATGTTAGTTTGAAGTTTTACTTGACATAATGTAATACTGAGAAATGTCACCTAGGATAGTGTGAGGCATGCTACTTTCAGAATATAATTTAAACCTCAATATAGATGAACTTAAATCTTTGGGTTTTTTCAAAAGTAGTATTAAATATTTATCCTTTAATTCAAATAAATGGTACAAAGTTCTTGAATATAATGCATTGGCAAGGAGCTAGAAGTACACTATTAAGGATATTAGATTGTTTAATCAGTATTTAGAAAAGGGTCCAAGTATTTGTTTATCTTTTAAAATTTTATTTTTCCATTATAGTTTACATTCAATGTTTTGTATTAGTTTCAGATGTACAGCATAGTGGTTACATAATCATATACTTTATAAAGTGGTCCCCCAATATTTTTAGTACCTACCTGGCACCATACACAGTTATTATAATATTACTCACTATGTTCCCTATGCTGTACTTTATATTCCCATCACTATTCTGTAACTCCCAATTTGTACTTATTAATCCCTTCACCTTTTTCACTTAGTCCGCCAATCCCCTCCCCTCTGGTAACCATCCATCTGTTCTGTGTATCTGTGAGTCTGTTTCTGCTTTGTTTGTTCACTTTTATTGTTCTTTAGATTCCACATATAAGTGGATCATATGGTGTTTATCTAAATATTCCAAACCCAGTAGGTTTTTACTGATGTCTCTCCCACCACCCTTGACCATTTAAAGAAGGATAATCCAAAATTAAAGATGTCTGAGTCCTCCATTATTTAGTTAATGCAATACGTTTCAGGGTAGATTTAGTATATTATTTATTTTAATTATTGATAAATTTAACGGTAAGTTCATGCTATTAGTAATTTATATCAGATATTGTTAATGTCACACATACACACAGAGACATGGAGTATGTATATTGTTTTAATTTATGTGACATTTAATTCACATGAAATGTCGGCTGCAGTCCATCACCATCATGCAGGGGGCAGTGCAAAGATAAATACAAAGGCTTCATACAAACCCTTCCAGAGCTAACACTTTTATTGGGGAGGTAGAACATTTACACGTAACACAGTATATACATACATTGACATTTAAAGGTAAACTGCAATGCAGATAGAACTAACCCTAAGTGCCAGCTGATAGGTTGGTTATAAGCAATGAATGGGCCACTGAGGTTGCAGAGGCTTTATAGAGTAGTGAGGACTGAATCAGCCTTAGGACTAAAGATAGAGCTTAACGAGCACAGAAGCATGGGAAGGGCAGGCTTGCAGGAATGGCATAAGCAGAGGCATGCAACCAATAGTGATAAAGGGACAGTAAGGAAAATGACTTTGGTACAGAGAGTTTACATTGGCTTATATTAGTCAGAAGTTGACAGTGAGGGTAAAACAATTTTGCTGACTTGGAATGTCAGACTAAGGATTTTGAAATTTATTTTCTTAGCAATATGGAGTCATTGAAGGTTTATGAACAGTGGAATAATAGAATTACAACAGAATGTGTGGAGAAAGTCAGTGTGTCAGCATTGTAGCATGCATTGATTCTAGAAGAACTCAGAGTTACGGAAGGACATTGGGAATATGCCTGCAGTGGACATGAGATGAGAGTGTGGACCATAATGGAAGTTGAAATGAAAAGGATTTATTGAAATATTGCATGTATATAGGGAATGGTGACATTTTTTAAATAACATTAAGATTTTGAAATGGAAGACTGAGAGAATGACAGACATTGATGGAACATAAAAGTAGAAGGTCAAGAATCTGATTCGAGGATAAATTTTAGTTTATTTTGAAATAATGATTTGGAGTAATAGCTGGGCATGCAGATAGAGATGTCCAGCCACCCAGGGTAGGGCCAGGGCTGCTGACACACAGTTTCGAGTCATCTGCATTCATCTGGTCATTGAAACTGTGAGAGAAAATACGTTCTTTGAAGCAGAGTGTAAAGAGGGAACTGAGGAAGGCTAACGATTAGTTTTAGATCCAGCAAGGATACAGAGAAGAGTCTAAGATAAAAGCAGAGCTACAGCAGTAAAGAGGCCAGTTGTGAGCACAGTGCAGGAACAGAGTGAGTCTGCGTGTAGGTGGAAGCAGCAGTAGGAGGGGAAAGAAAGGACTGGATGGGTGAGGCCGGCAGAACAGGTGAGGAGGAGGTAGGTTTATTCCATTTCAGAAAAGTGGTGGGAGGACCCAAGAGTTTTAGCTGTATTAGTTTACATTGTGTTCCAAAACATTCCAAAAGCATTAGAGTGAGCTTATTTAGTAGAGGCTACTCTTGAGAATTTTGAAGTGTGAGAAGAAAAGCAAAAGATTAAAATCTACTGTGGGCCAAACACGCAATATGCAGTCTCATTCAGTTCTCAAAACAAGTACTATTCTTTTGAGAAGTAAAAGATATATTAATATGCATTAATGATTTATTTTAGGGATTTTAAGCAGGGTTATTTTTTTTCCAGTGTACCCAAACCAAATGGAGCTTTGTATTTTCAAGTACTTCTTAATTTACTTTGAGTTCCTAGTGAACCTGTCAGTTAAGCAAACCATTAAATTGAGAAATAAATCTTTCTTGATTTCTGAATCTTTTCCTCACCAATAGGAGCCCCTCCTAACTCCTCCCATCTTCCCCTAAACCTCCCACCCCAAAGCCAGATTCTAGTATGTTGAGTTCTTTCCTCCACAGAGACAAACAAATGAAAAGGGAGTTCAGGGTACAAGCAATGGAGCTGCCAGTGATATATTTCGCTCTGTACCCATACTGTTGGAGAAGTGAGACCCTGTTGTGATAATGAAATACTTGAAGAATCAAATTCTAATTCTGTATAAAAACACCTAATCCTATTTAAAAATTTTTGTCTTCATTTCCTCCCATGTCTTCCTTTTTGTAATAGAGTTCATAGAGAGCCCACAGGTGATTTCTGAACTTGAAACTTCTAAAGGACTCTACCAGAGATCTTCAGAAGTCAATTTTCATTCTTCCTCAGAATTTAAGTTGAAATGATTATTATGATTATGTCTGGTTTTGATTATATGCCTACCACTTTACCTCTCTGCAAAATGAGTTAGATACAGATTGCCTTCCATCAATTTTAAAATTGGAAGGCTCAAAAGGAAATTCTGTAAATGATAATGTAGCTGTATTTACTCCGTTATCGGCATCAAATCAGATATCAAGTTTATATCAAGCTAAGATATAAACACCTTTCTCCCTATTGCTCATAACACTTCTGTGGGTATATTACCCTGACGCCCTAGTTTAAAGGAAATAAATGAATTCTACTTCTTTTACTTTCTGCGTGTAAGCATGTGGGGTTTCTTTTGTCACCATAAGCCACATAGTTGAATTGCTATGTGGCTGTCATGCAAGAGTAGGCAAATGCAAATGTAGTTATTAGACTTTATACTCTGTATAATTTGGGTTCTTTCTTCCTGACGGAGAGTAGGCACTGAAGGTTTATTGAATAAAATGAAAAATAAAAGGTCATTAAATGCCACATTTTTATGGAGAAAAACTTTATAGTAGTTTATGAAGCTGTTTGCTTTATATTAAAGAAAACAATATACCCTCTTTTTGCATTAATTATATAAATTTTAAATATACTTTATTTTCTCACCAGTTCATTGACCAGAGTTGCATCATTTCTTTAATAAGTTTCACAGCTTTTCATTTCAGACCAAAGCCAAGATTTTCTGTGAAATTTTTTTTTATGTAAGTGGATGTACACTCTATATTAACTATCACATAGTTTTTAAAATAATAATTACCATCTCTTCTTAAAGGAATTTACCATCTAGAGAGGGAAATAAGATACAGACACACACAGTTAAATAAGTAGGATTTGATTTTACCAAAAGATCAGTTATTACGGTCATGCTGCATGTGTTACATCAATTAATATATTAGTGCTATTAGCTCCTTGTAAAGAATCATTGCTTTATATGTGTACAGTTGGCTTGCACAAAGCTGTATATATGTACAAAAATATTGAAGACACACTCAAATGTAGGTTGAAGACACATTTGAAAGCATTTATACTAAAAGTGCACTATACTGAACAACTTGTCTTTTGATATCCTCCCGCCCATTGTGATTCTTAGGTCTGCTTCTCCAAAGCATGGGTTCACCATTATGAATAGGCTGAGCATGGAAAATAGGACAGAACCCATTACTAAAGACCTGGATTTCCAGCTGCAGGACCCTTTCCTTCTCTACAGAAATGCCAGATGTGAGTCTTTCTTAATGAATTGGGCAGTTTTATTTCAGCAGTTTGTTCAAGTGTTTCAAATTGTATAGTGTCAGTCTTTGTGTTTGTGTTTAGCATAGTGATTCCAGGGCCAGCATTCGTTAGCCTGGAAAGTGCATGCCTATTTGAGAGAATAGCTTCTTCCGTGGGGAAGTTTAAATGAAAGCCATGTGAATATGATGATGTGACCATTCAAACCCTGTCTTGTACAATGAGACCACTTTGTAGTGTGAACCCCCTGGAGACTCTAACTCAGCCTGACCAGGGCTGGGTGAGGAGTTTTTGTCAGGAGACTGCAGGAGAACACGGAGGTGGTGCTGTAGAGCACAGAATTAATGATTCAGCCGGTGGCACTTTGTGTGTGTGTGTCACTTCTAACTGAGCCTTCCTATAATATGTTTGGGGGAGAGGACCGATATTCTAGAATTGCCATCTTTTGATTATATAGTAAGTGAAAAATCAAAGTCCAAGGAGTTTTGGTCATTAAGAATTTCATAATACTTTATAATGTTGAAGTTATATTAGGTAATTAAATTGGTCCTTGTCAGATTTGAAATGAGGTAGCAGTTGTCTATCCAACAATCTGTCTCTATTTTACTCTTGTATCTTACCTGATCACTTGTGTCGGGCAATTGGACAGCCCAGAGAAAAACCGATGGGAAATATTTAAACTGCAAGAGCAGCAACATGTGTTGGTGCACACAAATGCTCTGTGCTTTATGGACAACTTTCAGAAAGACCTTGCAGTTAGAGGTTTTCCATTCATTTTCCATCCTGCTCTTTGAGCTCAAGATACAAGAATTTGCCTACTATATACTATTCAGTGTAATCTTAATAATGAATGTAATACAAAAGATATTTAATGTTATAACCCCAATGAGTTGTTTAAAAGCATCCATTTAATGCTATATTTATTTATATTCACAAATAATTAAGTTATTATGACAGGTGGTCACCCTATTATTTAGAGACTATGGTTAAATTTTTATGAGAAAAAATGAAAGCTATTAAAATTGTAACGTGACTTACTAATGGTAGGTCCCATGAGTGAAAAATTTAGTAACATAGAGAAATATTTTGTTTTCTACTCCTGTTTCTTTGTCGGAAGATATAGTTTTGTCATTTGTAGCTTATAGCTTGAATTGCTTGTATGCTTATAGTAATGTCAGTTGTTATTTTCTTTTATGTCAAATTAATATATAATTCAAATCCTAATAAACAAAATAGTCACATAAATAAGTACAAAATAAGTTAATATTAGTGACTTATAGTAATCATTTTTGATCACTCTTACTTTGGATAAATACTTGGTCTAGTTAGTATAGATAGTATTGTAGGTTCTTATTAGATTGTTATACATTATATATTATGTACTTACACCAAAAATATAAAAATACAAGCTCTATTTAATGTGGTTGATTTTAAAATTAACTTTCCTAAGTCCCATAGGATTTATCTGATAGGAAATACTATTTGGATCTAACAAACACATATTAAGCCTCAGCTTGGTTCTAGACCAGTGCTGTCCAGCTGCATGTGGCCACCGAGCATCTGAAGGGTGGCTTCATCCGAGTAGAGCTGTGCTATGGGTGTAAAACACACACTGAGTTTCAAAGACAATACAAAAACAAATGTAAAACATCTCAATTTTATATTGATTTACCTGTTGAAATGATAATATTTTAAATATGTTGAGTTAAATAAAATACGTTTTTAAAATTAATTCCACCTGCTTCTTTTTATTTTTTGATTTAAAATTACATATGTGACTCACATTTATGGTTCACCTTATATTTCTATTGAATGACAATGTCCTAGTCATTTTTATTTATTTTACCATATTTTATAATCACAGCTTTGTGAGGTAGACATCTTCACTACCATTTTGCAGATGAGCACACTGAGGCCCAGTGAGGTGACAGACCTGACAGATACCCACAAATTCTGATTCTAGTTTTATTGCTGTTAATACACCACATGTACTGCTCTCTCCACTATTAACATGAATGCAAACTGAAAGCAGCCTTTGGGGTGCGTGTTAAAATGTTTCTAATGAATTTCCCTAAGAAAGAAATGAAATCAGTTCAACAACGAATATCTTTCTGGTTTGTTTCGCTTTCTTCTCCCTTGATATCTGCTACTGATGGCCTTTGCAGCCACAGTCATTTGGTTTTAGTTTAGTTTATTTGTAAATGGCTTTTTGGTTTCTGACATCAAAAATTCACAAAAGGCTCAATAGAGTAGTGAGGTGTTTTCAGAGTCTCAGATACCTCCCAAACGTTTTTAAACAATTCAGACTCTTTGTATAATAATTGTAGATGGTTTCCATATTCTCTGACTATAGATTCATTCATTATCATTTGGACAGTGAACTCAGCTTCATTGAGGTCTGGTTTTTTAAGACTCTACCCTTCAAGATCTGTATAGTGAAGAATCTCTCTTGGTGTTAATATAGGTGTGTGGGAAGTTTTCTTATTGAGTTTTTAGATTCACTAGGTTAAAAAAAAAAAAAAAAGTAGTACCTAAGGAGATAATTATCTCTGTCTAGAATTGGATGAATTTAGAAGAACAAAAATAAAAAAGTGAAAACCTCAGCCTCTCTTAATAAAAGGATGTTTAATAAATAAATAACCTTGAATTTTGACCAAACACAAAATAGATGATTTTATAACAGTAAAGAATTTATAGTTTTTAAACTTGGTCATAGTAGAATTTGACCTGTATAACATTTTAAAATAACTAAGATAGTTGTTAAAAGTTAGAACCAAAATTCATTTATTCAACAAATATTTACTGAGCATTTGCTATCTGCCAGGTACTATCTCAAGGCTTAATATGGCTTATTTAATTCTCATAACTTTTTATTATAAATACTATTATTTTTTTTTTATAAATGAGGAAACTGAGGTTAAAGGGATTAAGTAATTTTCCATGGCTCATGACTATGTGGAGATGGAAACAGCATTTGAACCGAGAAAGCCTGACTTCAAAAGCCCAGGTCCACGCAGTGCAAGTACTAATGCATGGCTGATGTGTTTGAGCAAGCGTGACTTGTTAAGAAATGCTTAATCTTCTTAGTGTACACTCCAAAGTATAAAAAACAAGTTTCTTTTTTAAAAAGTTGAAAATCAGTTGTATCGCAATTATTAGAAAAGCGAATATAAAATAAAAACTAATGTAACAAAAAGCTGGATTTGACCATTTCTTTCATATTATTCCCTTTTAGTAACCTTTTACTATATTTTCCATTTCCCAATTAAATAAGATTTTGGTATATGGAAACATATTTTAGAAAGATATTTTCCCAAATATATCATAATAGTTAAGATAAGTTAGAGACAGTAAAGGCAGGTAGATTTCAGAGTTAGGCCAACAGGTTGAATATTTGATTGTGCTTACAGGATTAGAATGATATTCTTTTGAGCTCCTTGATTTTATCGAAGACATAAGTCTGGAGCTTAAGAGCAAATTAGAAAAGGCAAAATCAAGATATTTAAGATCAAACCTGTTTTAGAAAACTCCTCCTCAGTCTTAAAGTAAATTTACCATATTGGGTTGTTTTGTATTAAAAAAGAAATACAATTTAAATACTTTGTTAATATTGTAGCATCTGGGGAAAACTGCAATAAATAATGAAAATGATAGTTACAGGCAGTTCTTCTTATCTTTCAAATAGGCCATGTCCTAGAAGTTCCTTTTAAAGTGATTGGTGGTATTTTAGTTATACATGGTAGATTGAACACATTCCTAAAACTATAGAAATGATAATAAAGGGGAAAAAAAGACAAACCCACAATGGTGGTAGGTGTATTGCATGAAACAGATGGAGTAAACAAGAAAGAGGAAGATATAGTATGATAGCTTTATTGTTCACAGTTACTAACTTTGCCTCCTTGCAGAAGATTATATCTCTCTGCTCTGTTGTTGCCAGACTTGACTATATGATTTGGTTCCCTGCCCCACCCTCCACCCCTGTACCGACTTCTCCAGGAGGATATTATATGGTCACCCGTTGAACTCAAATATGGCTGTATGAATTGCTTTGGCCAGTGAAATGTGGGTAGAAGTGATATGTGTTACTTATGAGCAGATACTTTGAGAACTAGCTCATGATTCATCATCTCTCTTTTGCTTCTGCCTCAATGACTAACAGTATTCTCGGCAGAGGCTGCTCTGTCAGCCTGGGTCCTAGAATGAAAATAACATGGCACAGAGGTAAGGGCAACCCATGATGAATATATAATGTGCATGAGAAATAAACCTTTGTCATTGTAAACCATTGAGATCGTGGGGTTGTTACTGCAGCATAACTTCAGTTAGTATGACTGATACACAAGCCAAGAAAAAGGGATCCAAACAGGATGGAAGTAAAGGAATTCTGAGAACAGTGATAAAGAGGAGTCCCATAATGATGCCTATGCAATTAAACTAAAGATCATTCAGTCTGAATTAAAATGAAAGGATAAAAGGCTTCCGGATGTCCAAGGAAAAATTTGTAACTGATAGTTTTGATCTATTGAGACATTTACAGTTTCTTTTTAAGAGAGTTTGATGATGATATCGGAATATTGGAAACCAAGAGGGAGAAAAAACTAACAATATGAGACAATTCATAATTTCTGGAACAACAAAATACTGTATCAGAAAGGAAATACAATCATAGTGTACTATATGGCTCTGCAGATATCATAATTAAATTATAAACACTGAATATGAATTCGTACTATACATTTACTGGAAGGATGGGGAAAAGTGTGTGTGTTTGTGAGAGTGTGTGTATTGTGAGAGAATTAAATCCTCTTCAATATATTTTAAAAATCGAGAAGTGGTGTAAAAAGAGATTTAAATACCAGAAGAAAAGTTGGATGAGAAATAAATGGAGAGCAGAAATAACTGCCATTTATATAATTAAGGTTGTTTTGGAGAAGCTGTAATTAGGAATGTAATGGCTAGAGAAGAGTTCTCTGTTTTTATAAACCTTA